TAAAACATGGGGTGACTTAGGGATAGGAGACACTGAGGGAGGCCTAGTGCAGTCACAAGCACTCCCAGGAGGCCTCCCCCATCCTATAAGATATCCCATAATCTGCCTCCTGCCCTATGGGTTTCCTCCATATCCCACCCCATCACCATTCACTTACTTACACTTTGACGAGCTCAGGAAGTCAGGATAGAGAAGGCCACTCCCTCTCTGGTCCACATGGCACAATCAAGAAGAAGAAATCATGCCTATTTTGCATCCGCTACAATCCTTTACTCTCCAGGCAGCATAAACTACTATGATTTCTTCTTAGCTCCATCTGCGTAGTTTTACGCTGGTCGTGCTAAGAAGCTATTACAGTGGTTTACCCTGGCTGGGGAGGAAAGGATTGCCGTGGAAGCAAGAGAGATGGGATTTCTTCTTTGCTCTACCAGCATAAGACTAGTGTAAAGCTAGTGCTGATTGAGCAAAGAAGAAATCCCATCTCTTTTGCTTCCGTGGCAATCCTTTCCTCCCCAGCAAGGGCAAATCACTACCAATTTATGCTGGTTGGGACGAAATGATTGCCATGGAAACAAAATATATTGGATTTCTTTTTCTTGATTGTGCCATGTGGCCCTGCAGTCAATCGTAAGGACGAATGACCATGGGAGATGGGGCTGCAAAATTTGTAATTTTGAAATGGATTCGTATTTAGCATTTGGGGTGTGCATTGTAACTTCGAACATTTATTGTATGGCCTGTTGTACCTCAAGCATTACCTGTATTAATAAATATTTCTCTGTACAAAGACTCTAAAACTTTCACTGCTCCCTCAGTCCCAGATTGCTGCATACTATCTTGGACCTGGGAAACAGTTTTCTAATCAATTATTATGAAGCAGGGAGAAGCTTGGAAATATAGCAAACAATATCAGATCAAAGTTACTGCCCCTTCCACAGAGGGAACTAGTGTCAGACAGAGAAATTGTTGACCTTATTTCAAAAATAAAATCTGTTAAGGCTGCCAGCCAGAATAATATAACCACTTTAACCAAAATCTTAAAAAAAATCTAGATTGGTGAGGCTCTTTATTAATGGGGCTATTTACTACAATAGATAGTTCTGATTTAATTCCTTTGGCTGGAATAGGACTATAATAAGATAAGATAACCTTTATTGTCATTTTTATACTGTGGGCACAATGGCACACATCAAAAATGAAATTTAGTTGCCTGCTCTCAAAGTGAAACACATACATGACACAAACCTAAATATACTATAAACAACATATGTATAGACCCACATCCCTACATATACATAGCAAATAAATATTAAATATTGTCCAGAAGGGAGAAACAGAAGACCCTGTGAGTTATAGCCAATAGTTTGCTATCAGTCCCAGGAAAACTTTATGTAATAATGAAAAAGAATTTAAATGAAAAAAAAATAATCTTTTAGCTTGAGAAACACTTAGCTTTAACTAATGGCCGCTTTTAGAAAAGGCAGATCAACAATCAACCAGTGTTTTATATTAGCCTACCTAGCAGGAAAATATTATATTTCTCTGAAAGGCAAATTATTTGCTGTTTCTAAGGTAACTATTTATTCTGTTAATAGAATTAAAATTCTGGGCTAAATTAACTATAATAAAAAATTTTGACTTTTGAGAAAAAAATTAAAACTATATCTGTAAAATTCATAATCATGTGATAACACAAATAGAGATTTTTAGTTATTTTGGCACTTTATTTAATCATGCTTGCAATATTATTACAGGGCAGTATTTTTTAAAACAAAATCTACTATTATGTCCTTGCTTGAATATGCTTATTCAAAAATGGGAAGATTTGTTCCTGCAGCAGTACATGATTTTTGTGCAAGAATTTCATTTCAAATTTTATATGGGGCTCCAATTTTGATGACATTTCCAAATAATAAGGTAGCCAAAGTGTAGGTAAAATTTTAACGTTTTCTTTTAAGTGTTCCAAATTCTGTTATTCTCCTGAAAGCTGGACAATGCCATTTAAAAGCAAAGAGTTGGCTAAGCATTATTAACTTTTGTTTGCAAAAATATATATTTAAAACCAAGGAAGGATTGCTTTAGAAAATGCCAAATGAATCTTTTGTAGGTATGTAATTTAAAGAGATGACGCAAAAGATTAGTTGGATTGGCATTGATCCCTGTTATTTATTTTCCAGAGATATGACATTAGAATTTCATTATATTAAAGAAACATTATGGATTAGTTCAGTACAGAATTATGGTTTTAAGCCAAAGTTTTGTGTTCACTTATAACTTTTAGAATTAATACTTTTCATTTCCATAAATATCTGAATAGTTTATATTTAAGTAAATACAGAATAGCCTTTTCAATAGCCAAATTAAATGTGTTGCTATCGAATCTTGCATAACATGGGTGTCCAAACTTTTGGTTTGCTTGAGCTGCAGTGAGTGAACAGGAATTGTCTTGAGCTTCATATAAAACATTTAATATAGTTTTACAATAACATGATCATGTGGGACGTCATTACTAGCTGTCAAAGGTCACATACAGCTCCTGGGCCACGACTTGGACATATCTGTGCTGTATGGTAGATTTCAAATCCCCATATGTCAAAGATTTTGTCCCTCTAATGATATCAATCTTGAAATGGTGGATCATATTTTATTGTTTTGTGAATTATATAAGAGACTTTGGCAGGAAGAGGTAGGAAAGAGTATGTTAAGATTTTGCTTGTAAATGAAAATTCTAAAATTAGAAAGGTGACAGATTTTTAAGTCTGGCTATTAAAGCTAGTTTTTTAATAACACATCAATGAGTTGAAATTTTAGGTTATTATGTAGTATTTCTTAAATAATTTGCTTCTTTTATTCAATGCCAAATTTTAGATTATATTTGTAAATTTTGGCTGTGAATCAATTGAAATAATCATTTAAAATATTATGGGGTTTGAATCTATTATTGCAAGGATTTGAATGTAAAATGTGAATAAAAGCCAATGTATCGGGGAAATTATTTGGGAAGTAATCTTATATCTATCTATGTAACCAGTAAATGAAAATTTTATAAGCTTATTTATCATATATGTAAGGCTTTCCAACTCCAAATGACTATGTGTGGTGAACAATAATGGAAAAAAGAATATGAGAAAAAATAGTCCAAAAAAGAATAATCCTCAAAGGACTCCTCCATACACACAGAATTATCCAAAGGTACCCTTCACTTACCCAAGCCCAAGGTATAAGAGTAAAATCAGATTTTCAAGGTTCAATGGTTATGGTTGGGACTGAAGCATGCCAACTTTATCTGAAGGAATAGGGTGGCAGAACCATAGTCAAATAACAAATCATTATGCTATATAGGATTTTATGCTGTAGTTAAGGCACCCAGGATAGAAACCAGGAGACTATGAGTTATACTGCTTCTTTAGACATGATAACCGCTGGGTGAATTTGGGCCAATCGCTCTCTCCAGAAATCCACCTCACAGAGTTGTTGTGTGGAAATTAGGAAAGGAAGAAGCATTGTATATATTTGCAATCTTGAGTTATTTATAAAAATAAGTTGAGATAAAAATGTAATAAATAAACAAACAAATAACCTTGAAGTATACACAATATTCAGATATGAGTGACTTACTTCATCTGCCAGATATGAGTGGTCCCATATATGGTCGTGTGGCCACTTAAAGAGTGTAAGCTTATATTTTGTACTTTAGAGAGTTTTATCTCATTTTATTGCTTTAAAAATCAGCAGTGTTCACATTCACCATAAATTTGCTATTCAAGGGATCTATTCAAGTTAATTTTTTTGCATATTTTTCTATCCACTCTGCTGTGATTGTCGTTGAAGATACCCTCCCCCCAATTGTTGTTCTTATTTGGTGAAGGCCATGTTATTCCAAAACAACAAAGATCATTTAATTAAAATTACAAACTCATTTTGCCAAGAAGCTAATTAGATTTGGCTATGTGATGACAACACTGTCTGTAAACAAAATGTTCTACATACTATGTAGAGTAAGAGAAATGGGAATACATCCATTTTCCGCTTTCACACATAGCCAGGGCAGTTTTTCTTTTGAAAAGCTTTGCATGGACATTTTAATGCAGCTCCAGTTATCTGTATTCATGTGATTATTAGATGGAGAGGAAAGTGAATAGAGATACTCTTGAGATACGCATTCCTATTACTATCCAGGATTTATTTTCATTCATGATGTTCTTTGAATTATTCTCACATAACCCAAACTCCAAAATAAAAAAAAATCTCTTCACATGTGCCCTTTGTTTCTAATCTTACAATATCTAACTAGTGAAAAAACATTTGCAATTCAGCCAGCAAAATTTACCTGTCTATTAATGTTAAGTGTTTATTTAAAATTCTAATGAAGGGTTCCTAGTTATCAAACAGAAGATTATGCTTATTATCTAGCCATCACAATTAGCGATATAGGTTTAGTCCAATAGTTCAGTGTTTTTAAATATAATAAAATATATATAGTTAATAAGATATCTAATATAAGCATTACTTGGAATTCAAATATTTTATCATTTCTAATAATCTTATTAGCAAAAACAAAATCTATCAAGCAGCTATCATTGCCCCATCTTTATTAAAATCAAAATAAACTCATGGGGTTAAGTTGCCTGAAGACATAATACTTTTATGAAGAGAATAAAATATGTCAGGATTTAAACAAATCTAGTCTTTCTTTTACAATCTAAGATTACATTTTTCTCAGCTATATAAGTATAACCACAGTGAATGAGAATTCCAGAAGTCATAGATCAACACTTATAGAAAAGATGAGTCTGCTGAACTGATTCAAAGGATGCATATAGAGTATTAAATAAAGTAGAAAAATCTAATTCAGTTTTTCTTCCAAAAATTAGGACTTTTTCTTTCTATAATTTAAAGTTACAAAAAAGTTTTGAAATACATGTTTTGTGTATGCAAAATTAATCTATGTATATATTCTTCTTCTCTTTTTTACTTTTCTTTAATCTTCAAATATTCAGAATCTTTGGCCATCTCAATCTCCGTTCTGAATGGCAACTGGTAAAAGTGGATTATAAATCTATCTTTAGCAGAAGATGTACCAAGGATGATTTCCAGTCGTGGCATTTACACAATCAGGTAGGAATACACCAACTACTGTATCTTTCTGTTTCCCAGATGGGCTACTATTCCTAGCTGTGAGTGTTATTATAAATTAATGAATGTAAGTCACAGGATTTAGTTATACTGGAAGATGAGAAGCAATGCAAATCTGAATAGGATACTAGAAAAGTAAATATGGCCACTCATAAAATGTCAGACAATAATTGCTTTCATTATCTACCTGTAATGATATGGCCAGAAAAACAAAGTTATGAGTGACAGAATTTCAGAAATAGCCAAATAAATGAAATGGTACTACAGGGAAGAAACAAAATAATGGGGAAAAGCTTGCTTTCTGCATTTGGCTTATAGCCAAATTGTAGATAAATGTAAAACTGATCTTGGGAAAGGAAGGTATGAGACATTAAGGGGAGACTTGCCAAAAATATTACACAATCTTTAAAAAAGAGAACTGTGATAAAGAAACTCAAAATAACTCTGCTACTTTGAAGGACTGACAATAGAAAAACATTCATCAGGAAATAAACAGAGTGCTTTTCCATTATTCTTACATTTCATTATACTTTCAGTTCACACATAATTGTACTTGGTTCTTATTTCTGTCATAAAGATAGTGTAAGAACTCAATGTTCATAGTGAGAAGCTCTAGTATTAAGCATCTATGCACCTTGTATAATAAACCTGTACATTTTTCCATGATATCCCAACTCAGTATTCTTTTGCATTGAAGGGTGAACCATGTGTCATGGGAGAAAGGAAGATCTATAAGAAACGTAAATCAGGAGCATGGTGTGCATTGTCTAGAGATTATTCAAGAACAGTTGTTTCAGAACCATGCATCTGTGCTGAGTGGGACTTTGAATGGTAAGATTTATCAGTTAAACATATTTGTATGGCACCACAATCCAAAGAGAGTTTCAGCAGCCTAAACAGAATGAAGACAAACTAAAATAAAAAATAAAATATCCATGGTAGGAATAACACAATTGGAAACATATTAAAAATGTGTAGCAATATGTGTAAATAAATAAAACTAATCATAATAATATTCATATCAGAAGGAAACTTTCTGGAACAATTAAATTTTTAAAAGCATCTAAAGAACCAACAAAGACAGAGCCAGTATGATCTCCATGAGGAAACTATTCCACAAGGTTCACACTGCTACAGAGAAGTACGCTACCTTACTTTAACCCCTCATCAAAGTGTAGGATTTACAACAATTTCTCCATGAGAGATCAAGTTACTTGGGCAAATACCGGTAGATTAGATGGTCCTGGAGGTACCCAGGCACCAAGCCATAAACATGTTGTAGGTCAACACCTTAAAAATTAGATCCAGAAATCAATTCATATTCAATGCAGGGTCTGCAAAAATTATGCTTTCAGTGCTGGGAACCACAAAGGATATGAACCACTACATTTTGGATTAATTGTACTTTCCAAATATTCTTTAAGGGCTGCCCCAAATAAAGCACATTACAGTAGTCTGACTAGACAGTAATGAAGACATGAGTCACTGTAGCCAGGTTCTATATTATAAAAATTTCTTAGAACCCTCCTTTTATTTTACATGCTTGGCATCAAACCATACTTACATTGCTCAGCTTGAATTTTAGCACAAAAATACTGTGCAGCAGGAGTGTAGATAACCCTGTTCCAACTGAATTTTGAGCTGTGATTTATTTCCCCTTAGATTGGGCTTTGCAGAATAAGTCAGTGAATTGTTTTCTTTGCTGTATTGTATAAAGAGGTTGTCCATTACTACTTGTTTTCCTTTTTCATAGGAATGCTTTCACAGACTTACATTCTACCATTAATTGGCAAAATAAGTTACATTTTATACTTGAAAAGAAGTCTTAATTACTCCCTTTTGCCTCTCCAAAGTCTACAAAGTAGTAGCTTCTCAATATCCACTTCTCTCTTGAGAAATGAGTTGGAGGAGAAAAATAACTTCTAAATGATCATACAATTACATAACGTCAGAAAATAATCCAGATTTTATTTTCAAGCTCCACAGAAAAACGAATCATGAAATCTTTCTACAGTTCTTGCTTGAAGTTTTCATTTTCCCTTTAGTACTTTATTTACCCTCGTCAGGGAAGCTTTTTTCCAATAAGTTGAAGCAGCAGCTGGACTCAGTAATTTTTAACATACAAACTCCAGGGCTTTCTAGTGCGAAGGTGGGCAGTATGTGAGTTTTTAATATACATTTACCAAAAGTTAATGAACACGTCTGCAGCCTTCAGGACCTTGAGTTATGTAGTCATTAACATTATTTAATATTAATGCATCTCTTCCCTTCTTTGAGGCAACATGTGACCCTCTTGAACAATTTTAATTACTAAGTTACTACAAGGCATACTTAAAATGTGCAGGGGTGACCTACTGAGAATGATTAAATTTGAACAACAAAAAAACTAAAGCATTAAAAGCAGTCCAGAAATTTAACAAATATTTTAACTACAATGTCCACATACTGTACCTGTGTCAGATAATCCATTATTCTTTGTTATTTTCTTGCCATCAGTGAAAGGGCTGTTATGAAAGACTGCTCTGATTTAATCCTTCTCCAAATATTTTGCATAATTAGATAATGCATTGATATTGTTCTATTTCATGAAGTAGTTGTGGATTACTCCTTTACAGAATAGCTACAATGGCATTTCACTGAATATTTTTAGGTAGAAATGTATTTATTTATTTAGATCTCAGAGTTCACTATTGTAAAATCAGAACATAATAATAACCATTGTACATTATACCATCCACCAGTAAATGGCAAAAAGCATAAACAGAAAAAAATGCAATTTCAATCCAAAAATAATCAGAAAGTGGATTTAAAAATACAAGTTTATTTATTTATTTATTTATTTATTTATTTATTTATTTATGAGATTTATATACCGCTTTAAGTGCAAGCACTCTCTAAGCGGTGTACACCAGTAAGCAATGTATATATATATATATTTACATTGCCCCCAACAATCTGGGTCCTCATTTTACCTACCTCGGAAGGATGGAAGGTTGAGTCAACCTTGAGCCGGTGAGATTTGAACCGCTGACCTGCTGAACACAGTCAGCTAAAGTGGCCTGCAGTACTCCACTCTAACTGCTGCACCACCTCGGCTCTGAGGTGGTGCAGTTCTTTGGCTGATATAAAAATATAGTTCATATAAATTTCAGACAGACCTTTTACATATAGATACAGCAGATTCTGTGAGTGTGAGAACTTGAAAAGTGGCAACTAAATTCATAGACCCAATTACTGCGCTCTCTCTCTCTCTCCACATACACACATACACATAGAGAGCACAAATTTACTTACTATTAGTGCTTTGCTGAAACAATTGTATTTCTGCTATCATTTCTCATTAAATTTGATGTAAGAAAAATTGCTTTCAAAATTTGTTTGAAAGGATAAGACATTCTTTTGGGTGGTGTATGATGCTGTTATAGCATTTATAATCTGTATTTTCTTTGAGAACTTTTTCTTTGAGAACTCAGTATTGTTACTTGGGGTTCTCTCAATTGTCTCTCTGCACAAAAACAGTCCAATGAGTTCAGTTAGGCAGAGGAGAGCAAGAGAGAGATTGATCCAAAGTTATCCTATTAATTCTGTGGATCAGTAGGAACATCCAATCTGGGAGAAAAATAGGAAAATCCCATTCCCCAGGACTGCTGTAAAGGAATGATGGCTTCTTCCTGTTAATAGCACACATACCAAGATGTTAAAAGGATTTTGTGAGGTGGCTTGGATTCATGTGACAAAGAGCTTTGCACTTATAGCCTCCTCCATACTTCCAAAGCTTTAACAAGCTGCAAAAGAGCTAGGCAAACAGCATCCAGCTGTTAGTTTGCTCCTATAAATGAGGCCTCACATTACTTTGGAAAGCATCTGTGCATTGCTTGTTTACTCAGTCATTCATGTATATATAACTAATTTTGTTAAAAACATGAATCCTGGGTATAGTCATATTATAAGAACAAACAAACATGAACACCAGGAAAAAAATTTTAAACTAAAAACATTTAATCTAATGCCAAGCTTTCGTCGGCCAACTGCCGACATCATCAGGGCTATATATATATCCCCTACTTTGGCTGCCATTCTTGAAGCATCAGATTTTAGTTTAAATGTTATCAGTATTATGAATAGTTCTAGTTAGAAACAGTAGAGAGCAATTAATGATTAGGACTGGGCTTCCTCTTGAAATATTTGCCTATTGTAACTCTCTCCCTTACCAGAAATAGAATTTTCGGTAGGCTGGAAGGAAACCCACGGACAAACATAAATGAAACATACTTGCTATTCCTTCTTTTCTTGTGCACTATTTCTGCACATTTGGCTTAGACATAAGTGTTGTCTCTCACATTAGATATGGACCAGGAAGCTTTGATGTTAATGCTAATCTCTGTTGAACTAACAACTCATACCATACCCTTTTGCATGTCACTATCTCTATTCTTAATCCCACTTCACAAAGTTCTTGTGAGGATAGCATTCTTATGCATTTCTATTTTCTCTGTGGAAGGAAGATGAGATAAATGTATATGTATTTTTAAAATTATGTTCTTAGTGATTATGGTTATGAAAGACACAATAATAATCAATGCATCCCAGCATTCTGGTTCAACCCATCTTCTTGGTTAAAAGAATGCAGTCTTGGCCAGAGCTACTTGAACAGCACTGGGTAAGTAAAAAGTTCCTTTGATGTCTGCCTCTTTTCCAGAGCTTACAGCTGGAAATTAGTCTATCTTTTGCAGAAATTTAGCAAATAAGAAAAAAGAATGATCATAAATTAGATGCGTCCTGATTCTAGTTGCAGGCTGCATTTTGCCTTTAGGTATCATACTGGAGGATGCAGGTCAAAAGAAAGGAGAGGGCAAGATAAAGAGCAAGGCCAAGACACAGACTAAATTTGTTTTATTTTAGATTACATTTAAATTTAATTTTAGTTAAGTTAAAATATTAATATGATTTATTCCATGTAATTAATATTCTTTCCTTCTGTCACATTAAAATTACAATTCAAGACAACTTTGAGAGAGGTACTATGCCCCAACCACTGGTGCTGAAGAGGATGAAATTGATCGGTTCTATGAAGCCCTACAGCACCTTATAGAATTAACACCAAAAAATGATGTCCTTATCATCATGGGGGATTGGAATGCTAAGGTAGGAAGCCAAAAGATAACCGGAATAACAGGCAAGTTTGGCCTTGGAGTACAAAATGAAGCAGGGCACAGGCTAATAGAATTTTGTCAAGAGAATACGATGGTCATAACAAACACTCTTTTCCAACAACCCAAGAGACGGCTCTACACATGGACATCACCAGACGGTCAACATAGAAATCAGATTGACTATGTGCTCTGCAGCCAAAGATGGAGAAGCTCTATACAGTCAGTAAAAACAAGACCAGGAGCTGACTGTGGCTCAGATCATGAGCTTCTCGTTGCAAAATTTAGGCTTAAATTGAAAAAAGTAGGGAAAAGCACTAGGCCACTCAGGTATGAACTAAATCATATTCCTGATGAATATACAGTAGAGGTGACAAATAGATTTAAGGAACTGGATCTGATAGACAGAGTGCCTGAAGAACTATGGATGGAAGTTCGCAACATTGTACAAGAGGTAGCAACTAAAACCATCCCAAAGAAAAAGAAATGCAAGAAAGCAAAATGGCTGTCTGAGGAAGCTTTGCAAATAGCTGAGGAAAGAAGGGAAGCGAAAGGCCAGGGAGAAAGAAAAGATACACCCAATTGAATGCAGAATTCCAGAGAGTAGCTAGAAGAGATAAGAATGCCTTCTTAAATGAACAGTGCAAAGAAATAGAAGAAAACAACAGAATAGGGAGGACCAGAGATCTCTTCAAGAAAATTGGAGATATGAAGGGAACGTTTCATGCAAAGATGGGCATGATAAAGGACCAAAATGGCAGAGACCTAACAGAGGCAGAAGAGATTAAGAAGAGATGGCAAAACTACACAGAAGAACTATACAAGAATGAGCTTAACATCCCAGATAACCACAATGAGATGGTCACTGACCTCGAACCAGACATCCTAGAATGTGAAGTGAAATGGGCCTTAGAAAATCTGAGCAACAACAAAGCTAGTGGAGGTGACAGTATTCCAGCTGAGCTATTCAAAATCTTAAAAGACGATGCAGTAAAAGTGCTACACTCAATTTGCCAGCAAATTTGGAAAACTCAACAGTGGCCACAGGATTGGAAAAGGTCAGTTTACATTCCAATTCCAAAGAAAGGCAATGCCAAAGAATGTTCAAACTATCGTACCATTGCACTCATTTCACATGCTAGTAAAGTTATGCTTAAAATCCTACAAGCTAGACTCCAGCAGTATGTGGATCGAGAACTACCAGAAGTACAGGCAGGATTTCGAAGAGGCAGAGGAACTAGAGATCAAATTGCCAACATACGCTGGATCATGGAGAAAGCTAGGGAGTTCCAGAAAAACATCTACTTCTGCTTCATTGACTATGCTAAAGCCTTTGATTGTGTGGATCACAACAAATTGTGGCAAGTTCTTAAAGAGATGGGAGTACCAGACCATCTCATTTGTCTCTTGAGAAACCTATATGCAGGTCAAGAAGCAACAGTGAGAACTGGACACGGAACCACTGATTGGTTCAAAATTAGAAAAGGAGTCCGGCAAGGCTGTATACTGTCGCCCTGCCTATTTAACTTATATGCAGAGCACATCATGAGAAAGGCAGGGCTAGATGAATCAAAAGTTGGAATTAAGATTGCCGGGAGAAATATCAACAACCTAAGATATGCAGATGATACCACTCTAATGGCAGAAAGTGAAGAGGAACTAAAGAGCCTCTTGATGCGGGTGAAGAAGGAGAGTGCAAAAGTAGGCTTGAAACTCAACATTAAGAAAACCAAAATCATGGCATCCGGCCCTCTCAATTCCTGGCAAATAGATGGGGAAGAAATGGAGGTAGTGACAGATTTTATTTTTCTGGGCTCCAAGATCACCTCAGATGGGGACTGCAGCCAAGAAATTAAAAGACGCTTGCTCCTGGGGAGGAAAGCTATGGCAAATCTAGACAGCATACTAAAAAGCAGAGACATCACCCTGCCAACAAAAGTGCGTATAGTCCAGGCCATGGTTTTCCCAGTTGCAATGTATGGCTGTGAAAGTTGGACCATAAGAAAGGCTGAGCGCCAAAGAATTGAGGCCTTTGAACTATGGTGCTGGAGAAGACTCTTGCGAGTCCCTTGGACTGCAAGGCGTTCAAACCGGTCAGTCCTAGAAGGCCAGATCCTGAAGTTGAAACTCAAATACTTTGGCCACGTAATGAGAAGGAAGGACTCACTGGAAAAGGGCCTAATGCTGGGAAAGATTGAGGGCAATAGAAGAAGGGGACGACAGAGAATGAGATGGCTGGATGGAGTCACTGAAGCAGTAGGTGTGAACTTAAATGGACTCCAGAAGATGGTAGAGGACAGGAAGACCTGGAGGAACATTGTCCATGGGGTCGCGATGGGTTGGACACGACTTCGCAATTAACAACAACTAGTACCTGCATCTTAATTTCCTGAAGCTACGTGCAACCTTGGGGGCTGGAAATGGCATGATTTTGACATAAAAGGATGCTAGAAAAAGTAAAGCTAAATTAAATACTCTCCAGATGGAAGTTAATGGCACAACATAACAGGGTAATAAAAGCAAAAATAAGAAAGATCTGTTTATAAACTATCTGTTTATTTTAAGATATATAACATAAATATGTGAGGTAGAATTATTTTATTTAGAATTGTTTCAAAATCTTTCCTTTCTTTACAAAAAGGACATATGCCAACTTTCAGTTTCCTCTGTATTCTGTTCAGAGGGCATAGAGGAGCAGATTCATACTGTGGTTCTACTGTTATGCTATTTCAGCTTTGTGCTAAATTTCCAATGGGCCATAAATCTTAAACACTTACTGCTTTACTGAATGCTTTACTGCAAATGAGCAGACCAGCGTTATTACCCAATACTGATAGACCACTTATTAAATTTGCTGGCTGCTGATGGCTTTCACCATTCCACAGAGGATGTAAAATGTTGACATCCATTATTCATACAGTGAGTAGATATGAGCTTGTAGCAGGAAACTGCTTCACATAGTTAGAACGGGGCTGTCAATGGAACACAAAAGGACTCCCCATGTTAAATGCCCACTGCCCCTTTCCTAATTTGTCTGTCTTGTAGAAATCCAGAGCCATCCACACAGAATTTCTGTGTTCAGCTTTTTAGGGAGACATAAGCAGAAAGATGGTACAGAAGGAAAATCAGGGACCAGACTGTAGATATATACTGGCATCAATCTGAAATAGCCAGTAAATGTCTTTATGAGTCCACCCCTCACTTGATTTTGCTTCTGGCATTATGACTAGTGAAGCATAATATTGAATGTTGTCGGCTGGAAGGAAAAATTCTCTTTAATATCAGTTAATCTAAGAATGAGTTAAATCTGTTTTACTATGATTAGGGTCAAGATGAGGGCAACCTCAGGAAGATGCAAAATAAAATAAATGTATATTTGTATCAGATTTAGTTCAAATGGAGTAAAACAAAAAGTAAATGGGGTCCTTGTGGATTTTACTCTGTTAGTCATTGCTGGCTATTGGGGATGGTGCTCATTTCCACTGAGCCAGAGCTGTCTGAAGAATTTCCACAGTCATGTGGCTAGCATGATGTAATGGAGTACTGATTTAATTCAAATGGAGACACACTAGTGGAAGGGAAACACTATAACTTTTATTAGAACTTAGTGAAATAAAAGCTCATTTGTCTCCTATTTTTTCTTTTACTTTTTAAGTACCGTAATGTAAAAGGAATACTTCACTAAAGATGTGGGGAATAAGGGATATGAAAATAGGTAAACATCTAATGAACTGCAGCTTAATGAAGTTTGCTACCTGAACAGCACCTGAAGATATTTTCAGATGTTTGATATGAACATTTGCAGACAATATAGGTTTCCTTTCCATTTCTTTAAGCTGAATACATAAACTATGAAATTTGAGTTTTGTGAAATTTTAAAATATGAAATTATAAAATTCCATAGGTATCGGAGGATTGTTTCTAATAACTGCACAGATGGTTTGCTAGAAAAATATGCAGCCAAGCCTGAACAGTGCCCAGGCAAAGCTCCCCGTGGGCTACATATTCTCACATCCACTGGCAAGTTGGTTACAGAACAAGGTTACAACACTACTTTCATAATTCTTATGGAAGAGGTAAGATAATGTCCAATATTAATAATGGCATATCAAGTATAATAATTGTCCTAGTGCAATTTTTGAAAACTTTGAAAACCCAAAGCATCAAACCAAACAATAAGAATACAACTTTTAATTGATACTCCTTTTCCGTGTTTTATCAATGTGTAAATGTTTATTGGTAACACAATTGGGGTGGGTGGATGGATATACTGTATAATAGAAAAGAAAGTAGCAAAGGTTATACAAATTGGAATGGTTATACAAATCAAATCTTAATGCCTTTTACAACAGAACTGATGATTTGATAGTTCAAAATATAACTTCTAATTTAAATTGCATCTTCTATTGATGCAATGTTTTTACTCTGTATCCATCTATGGTGCAAAACTTTGTATGAATGCTTCTATGTAGGAATTCAGAAAAGAGCAGATGCAATATACAAATTAGAAAGCCAGTAGCTGTTTATTAAAGATCCTGAACAGACTTTCACACATAATGAACAAAACATAAAAAGGCAATAACACTGCAGGTGAAGCAAACAAAAAATTAATAAAGATGGATAGAAAGCTGAGACATAGGATTGTGCCTGACGAAACTCTGCAGGGTAAAGAGGATAGGCATAGGGTTTCAATTGCTTTCAGTGCTCTGTGCTGGGATATCCGTACCATGAATGGCTTTGAGATCGGTTAGCCATTTCCTCCATAACTTAGAGCATCTTCTACAGTCTTCTTATGCTGAATTTACAATAGTGATAATAGAATTTATTTTGTCTTAATGATAGCTGATGGATAGAGCTATGTCCCCAAGGAGGAAATGGTCTTATTTTCCCAATTTTGGTGTCTCCTTTCAAATCAGTGCCTGCTTCCCTATGTGCTGCACTGATTATTGTACTGTGCCGCTTGTTCATTTGCTTGTTTTATTTTAAAAAAGGTTTTGTTTTCGTTCATTTTCTTGTAAAAGTGAACTCAGCTATTAGAAGATTGAGGTTGATTTCTGCCTCAGTGATCTTCTCAGCTGTCTGCTTTAATTTTAGAAACAAGCTACTCAGTAAAGAGAGTGCTTCTGTATGGTTTGTAAAGCTAAGAAAATGGCAATTGGGATTAGGAATTTGGCTCGCAGTAAGTCTGGATTGACACATCTGCTACCTCATGAACATTCATTGCTATTTGCTACAGCAACAAATGTGCTATTGTTCGCTAGATTACCACTTCCTATCGGTATCTGCCTGTTCCATCAAGTCTGATAAGGAGACATGCCTCAGATCCCTTCTCTCAAATGTTATCATCTAACAGGATCTAGGAAGTGTGCCTTTTTTGTAGTAGCTTCAGCCTCTGGAACAACAGACTCTGTAGGCCTCCACACTTTTAGTCTTCCAGAAATCAATGAAGAGCTGTTTTTTTCTCCCAAACAGGGGATAGGATCTGGGGACTGTATTGTTGGTTGTCTGGGTAGTCCTCAGATTATGACAGCTATTGGAATCAAAATTGCCAATGTAAGCAGCATAGTAATAAAATGTGCCATGACTGCTCCACTTACTGACATAATTCTGATACTCCTTCTTGCTATTTTTAGCATGGATTGTTAAGTAAGCACCTCAAGTAAGCATGATATTCAACTTCCAGCTGGCTTCCCATTGACTATTTGTGGAAGCTGGCAGGGAACATTGGAAATTATGGTCATGAGACTGCAGGAGGTGTGATGTAATGTGAGCCTGGTGTCAAGCATTCCGATGGTATTGGATCACATTCTACAACTGGAACTCTGAGGATCAGTCATAATTCCCTTTGTTCAGTGTCTTCCTAACTTTGAATGATTGGGTGTAAACTGAGGACTATTAGTATTGAATAATATTTGTTGAGGTTTTGGTATATTATTATTATTATTATTGTTGTTGTTGTTGTTGTTGTTGCTGCTGCTGCTGTTGCTGCTGTTGTTGCGGTTCTTGTTGTTGTTGCTGCTGCTGCTGTTGTTGGTGTTTGCCCATAAATCTATTACATAAGATGGTCAGATATAGAAGTCAAATCAATGAAACAATCAATAAGCAAGCAAGCCTTAATAGTAAAACCTTCTAATTTCAAAGAATGTATAATAATCTGTTCCTTCAATGAATCCCTTAGAATATCCAACCTTTAGAAATGCCACTTTTTACATTTATGTGCATGTTATACTGACCTCAGATTTATGCAGGAAGCATCGTGTGATAAATAATTCTGAGAACTCCAGACAAATTGATATGCCACCTTGTCTTATTAAGCACCAGAAACAAACATGAGTCAAAAGTTGTGGCACATTAGCTAATGTAATTGTGTCTTCGTTGGGTGTGTGTGTGGAAGTTATGGGTAAAGGTTGAATAGTAGCATGGAAGAGGGGAGAAGCAAATTAACATTCAGACACACATAATAAACTCTAATACCTTTCAGCACTGTGTCTGTAAATAAAACACCTATGAAATTATACCAGGTTTGTAAGTAACTCTTGAAGCCTAGGTCTGAAAATTAATATATATTAACTAATCTCATAAATGTCTAAATGGGAAATTACTGTAGTTTTTATAATACTTAGCTATTTCTCTTTAATATATAGAAATAATAGGTTTTATATTCATATGGGTAAATCATTATTTTTATGTTTTATGAATTGCTTAGTAAAGTTGGGCAGGTACATGGGGGAAATGCTTGTGAATTATTAAAAGCTTGTCCCTTATATTGAATGTCTACATCACTGGGCTTACATTTATAGGAAGCACAAAGGTGCTTATTTATTATACAGGACTGCTATCCTTTTGATTTTCCAAGGTGCCTTGTAAGTAACATAGCTTTCTCATGTGCTAGCTATCAGGTTTCAACTGTATTCAGTTTCCAGACTTTTTGGCATATATTGTCACATTCCCATTTGATATTTTATATGACCTACACCATCTAAAATAGGGGTCTGTTGAATATATCCCAAGAATTGCGATAGTTATCCATTTGAAATGTCTCCACTTCATTTCCATTGCAATTTATATTCATAAACCAGGGACAGCTGACATAGCATGTGTGGCGAATGATACACATTTTACTATTTTATATATTCGAGATATAGTTAGAGAAAAGGGATTAGGAGATCACTGCAATGCGGAAAAAGCTAGTAAAAAGATGAAATAAGTTCTGTCAGTATTTAGATATAAGGACACTATTATTTTGTGTTTAAATACAAAAATCCACAGAAAAATGGTATGTGTTTTGAACATTTGCATTCTTAATTTTAAATTAATAACTATTCACAATGATCTGCCTGAGGTTATTAAAAAAAAATCTATTGCCAAGAAGATAATTTTTGACTTGCTGTTCCTTTGACTGAAGAAGAGACATTTCATTTAATTTCTATGAGATTTATTTAAAACTGCTGGTTTAAAAAAGTAATCAAAAAGCAGTGGGAAACTCCTTTAGGACCCTTTGGTCTTAATCAGTTTACCTTGGTCCAAGTTTTCTGTGTTTTGAAGACTGTATTTTATTGAAGGAAACACCGTCACTCATGCTGGGCTGAAAAGTAGTAGTTAGTTTTCTATGATGAAATCACCTTTACCTGTTACCATAGAGTGATGATAAGGTATCCTAGACCTATGCTTTTCCAGAATTCTGATAATTCTTCAAGCTGTGACAGTAAATCTTATCACTACCCATGTGGGCTTGAGGTTGTTGAATTTGTATTTCAACAACCTTTAGAAGACCCCCATATTCAGTGGTCCTAGATTAGATAAGAGACAAAGATGCTTGGGCTGTTCTTGGCATTTCTTCTTTTGGCCGGCAGTTAGCCTATGCTGTGAGAACACATAATCTAAACTGCAGCAGTTCCAATCTTGAACTCCAGTCTTCTCAAGTTTTCATCATATAATACTTCTGTCTTCTTGATAACTTCATTTCTTCTTTTGAAGATGCAGATAATTTAGGGACTTGGAAACATAATTTAAAAGCAAATTAAGTTTTTAACAGGCCACATTTATCTACTAAATGCAAGGGTAAAAGTCATAAAGTAAATAAGGCTAAGCCGTGTAAAGTCTAAATGCCTTGAAGAGAGCAGCCTCTTTGGTGCTATTGTATATAATAGTTTGCTGCATTTACCAAATGATAATGAATTTATTATACAGAGACAAAATGGTCACTTACGCATCACTGCTTTTCTCAAAAGACAAAAAAGCTGGAGATCCACATAATGTCCATATGCTAAATTCAACGTTTTCATGCACATTTAAAAATATATAATACTGTATATATATTATAATATATTTCTCCGTAAAGGGAAAAGTAAAAGACTTGTGCTTCTGTTCAACTTACTGTTGTTGGATAATTTCAAAGTTCCAGCTATCTCTTAGTTCTTTATCCTAAAACCAGAGTTAGGCTGGGCTTCAAACAGCAGCTGCAAGTAGAGGATTACCCTTATTAAGAAAGGGCAGAACACTAGGCTAATCAGTCTGGACACCATTGGAACACTTTGAGAAGCAGTGTACTCCAACATATCTTTTCCATTAGAGAATAAATTGTCTTGTTACTTTCTCTTTTTTTTTTCATCCCTGTTATATATTTAGACTTAATACATTCAATAATTTAAAACCAGTCTCTATATGGCTGACAAACCAAAGGGCTTTCCTCTGCTTGCCAGACATTACACTTTGATAGGACTGCTAGAAAAATCAAGATGATTAGCAGATGCCAGCAGAGATATGGCAAAATTTAACTCTTTTCTGTTACATGGAAGTCATGTTGATTTTTGCAATTCTAATATGGTAGTCAACACAATTGCCTAAATTTGACTAAAGAAAAACAAATTTGAACTCGCAGTTCTTTCTCTCAGTCTAGTTTTATATACCTTGAGATGTGAAATTATGAAACTGGGATGTTGCAACTAATCTTTGCCTTCAAGGCCTGCTGATCATCTCTATCCCATATTCTTCCTTTTGATTGGCTGGTAACCAAGCCCCTGTTTTCTCATATATTGCCTATCTCCATATTTCTGGCTAGAGTTTTTGTTGTTGTTTTAGTAACTCATATATCTGAAAAAAACATGAATTATTTTAGGGATGAAGCACTCATAGTGGCAGGGTATCCAGGTAGCTTAAAAATTTATGAAGCAAATCCTTCTGTCAATTTCCAGGACTTGTATATTCTGCTACAGAAAGAGGATAGTATGTTTGTCTTTGTACTTCTACTCTAGAAATTTATAAGAAAATGAAGCATGAGTATAGTACAGATTTCATTCTGGGAGGGCCTGGAGTTTGCAGAATGTAATATATTACTCATGGATCTCATGGAAAGAAAAGAAAATTGATTGCAACAGCTGAAATCCAACAGCTCAGTTGGAATTTCCTTCTCTCGTGCAAGTTGTATTATTATTAGTGCTATTAGTATTAATACTAATAGTAATAATATTATTACTATCATATTACTATCACAATATGATTACTATCTTAGTGCCTAAGAAAGATTATTTTAAAAGATTCATAACTTATCTCTAACCTGGAATTATACAATAAACTGTAAAAGCTGAGAAATTGATTCATGCATACCTAGCCATTAGTGGACTTAAGTACAGGGAAAATATATAGTAAACCTGAACTATATGGTGCAATCCATACTATCTCCTCTGTAATATAAGTGGACCTTATCAACCACATTAATAAACAATGGTATTCCTTCTTACAGGGTGACCTCCAGAGGACAAATATCCAGTTGGATTTTGGGGATGGTACTGCTGTATCCTATGCTAATTTCAGTCCTATAGAAGATGGTATCCGACACATTTATAAGAGCACTGGAATCTTCCATGTGACAGCTTATGCAGAAAATAACTTGGGTTCTGATTTGGCAGCACTTTTTTTGCATGTGGTTTGTAAGTAGATGGTCTCCAAAAAGTCTCTTGGTTTGATTGAATGCAGAGTTCATAGCTCTGGAAGACTTGCCTCTTAAATCCAATTTCTATAATCTGATTACTTTACCATTTTAGCTCATTCTTCTCTATATTTTTAAACACTGTAAAAGTTCAAATATTTCATATTAATAGAGTGCTATTTGGGCCTACAAACTTTAATAGATTCTACTCCTAATAAGAGAATTGCAGGGACATGATAGACTTGCATATTGTTTTTCCAATTAGTTCCACATTTTGTTCAAATTCAAATAACATACCTTATATAGTATAAAGTATAATGTTGCAAAAACATACCATATTTAATGAAAAATTGAAAATATTAGAAGCATTTATCAATTTAAATTACTATTTATTCTAAGAATAGTAAAATATTATAAAGATAGCTTAAGAATATTTTTGTCATAATTATCTAATTGGATTTCATCCATGGTTTGATACTGTGCTCTCAAAATTGTCATTTTTTTGTATGAGTAATCATTTACCTGAGATGGAAAACATTCATATTTCAGTGTGAGAATTCTTAGTGCTTTAGTACAAAAACAATGACCAATGTGAAAAATGCCTGTATGTAAATTCAGCTATTTGATTGTGTCATCTTGCAACTTTATGTACTGCATGTACTTTTTAGGTTCACATTGTGACATTTTGTACTTTTTATAATAGACATGTACTCTTTTTGTACATTGATTAGAATTCTTGTAGTTTGATAAATACAGAAGTGGGTGTTAGTTTGGCATAATTGTGGAATTTGGTGCCCTGAATATGTCATAATGTTCTTTTTAAATTTGTAAGCATACAGAGTTAATGTGAAGTGCAGTACATTCAGTAAATCATGCTGGTCTATTAACCTTGGAAACAATGTTGATGGAGGCTGTTATTCTATATACACTGCCTGTATAATAAATCTTATTGAACTCAGGGGGTCTTTCAAGCATACAATAGCCTGCCGTCTTTAGGGACTGGTGAGTATTGTAATATGATTGGAATATTTGAAGTTAGTGAATCATACATAAACATTACTGCAATAATATTGAATAGTCTATTGCTCTATGATTAGAGGATAGGATAAGATAGGATAGGATAAGATAGGATAGCCCATATGTACTTCATATATAATCAATAACATTGTAGGAGGTGGCTAAAAGAGGCAAGATAGCTTTATTTGTACAGAGAGCAAATAGATTTCACAAACTACTTTATCAGTGGATCCAGTGTTAACCTTTTTAGTCAGGCTGCATTTAATTTTGCAATTCAAGATAATTATCATCACACCAGGTTCTTGGGAAGGACTTGATAGATGGACAAAATTGCCAAATCCAGTCTAAACATCTGGCTAGCTGTGTGACCAACCATAATACAATAAATTTATATGCTGCACAGCTGCCAACAATTCTGACTTCTTTATGAATTGTTTAAAACATTTCAGGCAAGAAAAGAACACAAAGCAAAAACTGGAATAAAAGTAGTAGGCGTTCTTCCAGGGTCCAAATAGATGGTATTGATCAATTGATGGAACCTGGGGAACATCAATTCTACTAGACTGTAAAATAGATTGACTCCCACTGCTATCTGGACTAGGAGTGACATGATAGCAATGTTCCAATATCTAAGGGGCTGCCACAAAGAAAATGGGTGCATGTGTCAATCTATTTTCCAAAGCACTTAAGGCAGGACAAGAAGCAATGGACAGAAACTAATCAAAGAGAGAACCAACCTAGAACTAAGGAGAAATTTCCTATCAGAACAATTAATCAGTGGTACAACTTTCCTCCAGAAGTTATGGGTACTCCAACACCGGAGGTTTTAAATAAGAGATTGTTCAGCCATTTGTCTGAAATGTTATAAGGTTTCCTACTTGAGCAGGGGATTGGATTGGAAGGATTCCAAGGTCTCTTCCAACTCTTGTTATTCTGCTATAGATAAGATTAGCCAGGCTAATATTCTGGTAGATATGAAGTCCTTCAAGTAACTAGGCCCCATGCCATATAAGACTATAATAATAATAACACAAACCTTGAATTATACTCAGAAGGAAATTGGCAACCAACGCAGCTAATAAAACAGAGGTGTTACATGGGCATATGGAGGCATGCTTGCCATTGGCATGCCACTGCTTTCTAGATCAGCTGAACCATCCAGGTGGTCTTCCAATTTTTTTTAATTTCAGTTTGTTTTCTCTGCTTATAGAAGCAGTGTTTATCAACAAACTGAACTTTAATTATTCTAATTAATTTCATAATCTCTATAAAATCATGGATTTTCATGACCCTTTATTCATTTTTATAGAGATTATCAGCAAAACATTTTTAATCCTTCCAGTCAGTTTCTAATCAGTTTCATAATTGATATCATGCATACTTAGAAACAGGAAGAATTGTTCTTCTAAAAGAATAAAGATCAAGAGAAGCTAAGAGCAAGTCAACAAACAATGAAATGTGAGTCCCCCTCTTTGTGCTGCCTGTTTCTATCCGAATCCTAATCTCATTTGTTTAAATCACTCTTCACCAAAGACAGCAACTGATTCTCTACAACTGTTGGTATATTAAAGACTTGTCCTGAAGAAACAACATATTATATACCTACAGTATTATAGGGTAACTTGGTTTGAAGATCTTATAGAAAGACTTATAAACTGTGATGCTCTTGTGCTGATTTTAGTTTTTCTTTTTCTTTTTCTTCTTTTAAAATGTAAAACATATTACTACCATATGTGATTCTGTGATTATTTTTTTTAAGAAACAGGAGACATTTGCAGTTAGCTTCAGAGAAACAGCAGCCCTCACAATCCTTAAATTCAACTTTTTAGTATTCTCTGATATCTATGGTGCCCTTGGAAACACACTGTTTGCTTGTCATATTCAGTGGTCAAAGCTCCATCATTTTATTCTAATTTTTGTGCTTGGAAATATATGAACATGATATATATTTATTACACTAGCATGAGATAATTGCTTTCCCATTATTATTTCCTTCTTTCCTACTATAATTTTATTTCTCATTTCTCCTCCTTCTCCTCCTCCTCCTTTCTTTTCGAAAGAATAATTCAAAAAGTCCCTTCTAAATGTAAAACATTATATTTGAACTGACCTGGATAATATCTATGATGACTAATTGCAAGGTCTCACCTGCTCCCAATTAGAGCATTTAAACTAACTGGAGCACCCAAACAACTGCAAGAAGCTATCAGCTATTCCAAACATGCCTGATGTACAATAGGGACAAATAAAAATTCACTTCAGCATGTGAATGTTAATGGAAAACTAAAGGAGGAAAAACAGATGGATAGACAAATTATATTGCAGTTAAAACTTCACTCTTTTCCAACTGTTTTTATCCCTTTTCTGTCTCTTTTTGTCCCCTTATTAGCAACAAAGTAAATGACTAATTTCTTCACATGAAAACTTAAATAGCCATCTGTTGCATTGCACTGGGAGCACCAGAGCAAATTCTTACCAATAAGTCATACATTTTTCTCTGCCAATATATATTTATTTTAAAAATACCTGTGGTGGAATTTGGTCCAGATACCCAGGAGAAAACTGCTGCATTCAATCACAATATCTGAATTATTTTCTTCAACAACAGAAGTTTATGGCAATGTAAATGAATTTGAATAATGTTCCCATTCTCCAGCCCAAACTTGCTCCAGAAGGATACCATGGTTGATAGTTTTGAGAGACACTGATAGAAAAAAAGAGCTATCATGTATACTAACTCCATTCAGATCATAACAATTATGATCCACTACTGGGATCAAAGTGAACATATAGACAATATAGATGTAGATATATACAAATATTTCCCCATGTACATACATCAGTATAAATGCATGTATGTATGTACCACTACCAACTCAGGTATTCCCCAACCTATATCTGTGCATTAGTTTTTATCCTTTGAATGACTTCTTCACTTACCCTATCAATTTCACTATTACATTCATCATATTTTTCTTGCTTATTACCATTGATTTGAAGTGTATAGTTCTGTTTTCTGAATTATTAATGATGCTGTCCATTTGGTCTTGGCATCTGCAAAGGTGATAAGCATTATGTATCTTTTCATCTTAATCTTTGAGAAAAAAAATGAATTATGTTGCACCCATCTTCCTCTTCCCAATTTGAAAAAGAACCACTGATGAACCATAACACTCTGATTATGGCCTAATGTGTAGTCACTTAATTAAGAAACCATACAACCATACATATTTTCTATTTTGTTAAGAAAAATATCAGGGGATATTTTCATTTCAGTTTTGTTGAAATGAAAGAAATATTGCATTTAAAATGTTCCAATAATTTGTGGAAGGAAATTAACAGATCAAATCTGGTAAGATATATTCCAGAGAAATCCATGCTGACTTTACCACTTTGCCTCGTATCTGTTTTTTTTAATTAATCAATCAATCAATCAATTAATTAATTAATTTAAAAGCCCTTAAGAACCCAGTTTATGAACTGTTTTACAATATATCAGATCCATCTGTGGTTTTCTGGATCTTCTTTCTTTCCTTTTTGAAGAAAGAGAAGAATACTGCCCTGCAGTCATTTGGGATTTTATCTGTTTTCCAGGGTTAATTTGTATTTCAGCCATTTTCCAAAAACTTGGGAAAAAAATTCTGCATCTGAGATAGTTGCTATTGCTAGTGGGTATTTTAAACTTTAGACTAATTTATATTGTTTACATTGATCACAGTTTGATATAATCACAATATAATAGCATTCATTGCAATAGTCTTCCTCAGCTTGCTTTCCTTCAGATGTGACATCTTCATAATTTTTAAATAGTTAGCACTGTTTATTATTTTATAGTTATTTAAGCAGATAGAAGTGCCAAGTAGAAAAAGGGACTGTTACATGTTTTTTTTTAACTGCTTAATTTTATTTTTCTTTTAATTACCTTTAAGATATGGATAAAAACAGGTCTGTTTTACAATACATATTCTCTTTCTACAGGTCCAGTGGAACGTGTCCACCTGAGTGCTCCTTTTGTGGCCATCAGAAATAAGGAAGTCAATCTCACGGCTGTAGTTTGGCCAAATCAGTCAGGCACTCTCACTTACTTCTGGTGGTTTGGCAACAATAGCAAGGTTCGTTCCATTTTTAGAAATATATTTATTTTCTCTGACAGGATTAACTATTGATTCATCTTTATTCTGGAAAAAGAATGCCACCTGGAACTGCAATAGAACAGTATAATTTTCTATTACTGTCAAAACAGCTTCTTCATTTCCCAAACTTTGTTTCCTTTCTTTTTTTCCCTTTTATCCTACCTCATGTGGCTGTTTGCAGGAGTCTCTGCAATGTACAGTTGTCTGTTATTGGAACATTATGTTTAGAAGCTATTATTACTACTAGAATTCAAAATTATACCCATTGTATATAGTAGATAATTCTGGGTTTCTGCTCAGCATTTAAAAACGGCTGATGATCAAATAAACAGTATTTCTAAGAGGGCTAGCTTGTGCATAGAATTTTAGAATTTGACACATATTTTAAAGCCACTGGGAATCAAATCACTTTTGGTCTCTGTGAATTCAAATTAAACAACTTTGAACAACTCTGTACTTGTCTGCCCGTGCTGTGTGTTCTGTTTTTGGACACATGTCAGAGGTCTACATGAATGCCCAATGACAGTTACTAGTTACATATACAATTATCAGCTAATGTATTTCTAAACCTAAATTTGAAATAATAATGAAGTTTTGTTTGATTGCTGAGTCTGATACTCTTTGTAGATGATAAATGTGTACGTCAGTAAGATTGTTCAACAGCTCCAAGATTTTTTGGCTTTTTTTAAGCACATAAATATACAGTTGTTTCAAACTGTGCACTGAAATTCTTTGGAACCCTAATAGGGGTTCTGGAATGTATACTAGACACAAGCTCCTACAAGATATTATTTGCCACCCACTGATCTTCCCATCCATTGATATATATATTTTAAATTCAGACCCTTGCCTGAAAGTACACCTGAGTCCAAGAATACTTCCTGTAATCTACTAAAATATAAAAGGGTCTATAGTACATGTTCAGGGAAAAGAAGGCAAGGATTTCCTTGGTAGACTAAAACTGGAAAATTTAAAGAATCATGGCAGTAATACTTAGTAATAAATACTATTGGATCTTCTTTACAGCAAAGCACTAAATTATCTGGATCAATATTATCTGCAGTAACTGGCAACAGTTCCTAGGAAATGAGAGAAATATTTCCCAGCTATACCTGGAGATGTTAGGTATTATATCTATGAACAGCAAAATGTATATTGTGTAATTAAATAAAGCCTTTTTTAAATTATACTATAAACTTGAAATAATGTTAATTGCCTGGTTTTCCTTTAGAAGACTAATTGTTTAGGAAGTTATAGCCATTGTAATATTTAAAAGAGCCAAGAAAGTCTTTAGATCCACCACTCTTCCAAAATCATATTCTAAAATACCCTAAAAATATATTCAAGCACCTAAGAGTTGAAAAATATTTCCAATGCTATTTGCAGTTCTTTAGTCTGTTTTATTGGGAGACTCAGAAAGAAATGTAGAAACAAATAGGTTTACACCTGTTTTCAGTTTGTGAATTAGTACTGGCCAGCCATTTACACATTTACGGTATATCACTCATGCATAACTGTTCAAATGCTAAACTGGACTTCCAGAAGAAGCAAGACAGGACCAAAATTTGGTCAGTCCCATTTTTATCAAATCTCCAAGGACTTTTTCTATCACAGTGTCTTTGCCTCATCCAGCTGATCTGTTACTATTGTGGAAACAATATGTCTGGTACCTTGTTGACTTTGATTTGGAACTGTCATCTTCTTCGGGTTGCAGAAATAAATCTTGTTGAATAAACATTTTCATTTTAATGATAGGAAGGATTTTATGTATTTCATCCTTCATACATGTCCATTCCCACAAATGTATGGCATGCAGTTAGACATTGTCATTAGAGATAGGTATTCTGGTTGTCCCAAATGTGCTTTTTTCCCCCATAGACATTTAATGACTGTTATTTTCTCAGACATTGTCATCCTATTTACACATTAAGCAATTTTAATTACATCAGTACTCATTTTTTGTCATATAGCAACAATTTTGTAAAAGAATATTTAACCCTCAAGTGGCAATGCTGGCCCAGAGTATGCTGTACCGATAGTTGCTTTTTTATAGTATTTTCAGAGTCTTTGCAATATTGGTCTTCCCTAAAATTTGGTACCCCTAAGTCAGTACCTACTGGGCATTAACCTAAAGCCAGTCCTGCATCTAACATTTTATTCAATGGGCATAGGAGACTTTTCAAATTATTTTAAACATAAATTTATATGAACAATAGATGTATAAGCTTATCAGGCAAAGGAAAACAGGAGATCAAACCTAATTTTTGTTTTAGCTCCAAATGAATATTTCTTTAGCATTATTTTTCAGTATCTGGAAAACCAAGTTTTGTATCTGCAATTTAAATGTTATCTATGCATCACCAATAAACCTCAAATTGTGAGTTCAAAATATGGCCAAAATAGAGGACAACGTAAAGCTGGCAGAAAATTTGGTTTTGCAAAATGATGATAATCATAGGATGATAGAACTGAAAACTAAATAGGGCTGCCATTTAGCCAGTTTCATAATTTTCCACTGATAAAAATCTACTTATTCACAACATGGATTAAAAACAGCTGCAGGAGGACTGCTGTTCTCCCAGGGCTTTTGTGCTTTGTTGACTCTTCAGGGGTCCCCTAGTTGTTGTCACTCTCTGACTTCTATTTATGCAGTCTCTTCAAGCAAATTACTTTAGAGACTATTGTCTCAAGTGCCAGGAGTTCCTGAGATTTGGAAAAGGATCTCAAAGTTCTCCAAAAATCTGCAGAAAAATATTATCAGTAAAAAAGAAGGAACCCAATCTAAATATCCTTGTTTAAAACAAAAGACAAAACAGTTTCTGCACATTGTATGAGCACATTGGAAATCCTGATTGCAGAGATCTTTGTCTGCAGACAGATTGCAAATCACACAGCAATGCAATTAACCAAGCACAAGATACTTTGTGAATTTTAAATTTTGTAATTTCTTTGTATCATAAAGAAATTACATGCTGATAAGAAAAAAATTGTAAATCATTAGAAATAGCACTAGTCTATTGAGTTTGTCCATTTCTCCATTCAGACTGGCTAAACATATTTTTGCTTTACATGTAATACATAAGTGAAGGTTGCAGACAAGCAATCTCTCATTTCACCAGTCACTTTTCAGTTTTCAAAGAATATGGGATCATTTCGTCAGATTCTGTCTTTGAAAAGGGCAGCATGGCGGCTCAGTGGTTAAGACACTGGGCTTGTTGGCTGGAAAGCCAGCAGCCCAGTTTCAAGACTGCGAGCACCATATGGTGGGGTGAGCTCTCATCCTTGCCCCAGGTCCTGCCAACCTAGAAGTTCCAAAGCATGCAAATGCGAGTAGATAAATAGGCATAACTTTGGTAGGAAGATAACAGCACTCCATATCATCATGCTGGCCACATGACCACAGAAATGTCTTTGGGCAGTGCTGGCTCAATGGCCTTGAAACAGAGATGAGCATTGCTCCTTCTAGTTCACAACAACTAGCAGAGTAAAATCTGCAGGGACATTTTTACCTACCTTTGAGAAAGATCAGAAATAGCTTGTGCTGTGTGCTTGATTTTCTTTCTCTTTTTTTCTCTTCTGCTTTAATCTGAGTCTTAGATTCTTCCTGAACATGTCCCTGCTGTTTTCTCAGCAAGGTTTTTCAGAACTGTTTTGTTCTTGCCTCCTTCCTAGGACTGAAAGACACTGACTGGCCCAAGGTCACCCAGCTGTTTTTGTGCCCAAGGCAGGACTAAAATTCATGATGTTTTCTAGACTTTTGCCTTAACAACCACACCAAACTGGCTCTCCATTACAACTTAATGTGTATCTAAAAGGTTGTCTTCTTCCCTTCTTGCTAGCTGGCTAACAAATGGTAAACTAAGAAGAATCCATCATACAGCACAAAGGATTTCCCCTTTCCCGTGTAATGCATAACAAACTCCATACTGAATAGTAGTAAAAGCAGGCAGGGCAAAATCCTGGACCGATTCTTACTTATCCTGCCATTTTCTAAGACACTGTATTGCACAACCTTCATTGGATTAGTGTAGTTCAGTCAGTTTCTGATTCAACTAAAGCCATGAGGTGACTGGTGCAAAGAAAATTCTAGTCTTTGTTTAACTTCATTGAACCATCCTATATTAAGAATATCTTTGTAAATTATACAATACAATTTTGGACAATGATTTTATTTGCTTATTTAAATAGGAGTATTGTAGTGAAGTGCAAGTCCTCTATTTTAGCAATATATACAAAAGGCTAATTTGCTTGGAATAGCATCACCTCAGTTTAATAAATGAATCTGGATATCTATTAGGCTTTGAACAAATGAACCTTAAACTCCTTGATTTAATTTAGAGCTAGTTTCCAGACTTCAGTGCTGGAATTAAATTTGAAGGAACTACCAGAATGTTAAATTTCTATGATGAAGGTGAAATCAGCCATGATAATGCAACATCTACCAAGAAATTTTCAAAAGAAAACTGGATTTCTTGGTAGCATGACAAATAAAAGTATACAAACACAGAGCCAGGAAAGTTGTATCTGAGGAATTGTGAGGATATAAGGAAAGAAACTTGAGAAAAGTTTACATGGAGGAAATAATTTCTAAATAATCACAGCCAAGGGCATCCTACAGAAGAGTAAAAAGAAAGTTGAGATGCCAGCTAGCAAGTTCCACTCCTACTTTACATGTGGTACACCTAAGGGTAAGGGCATGGGCATTACTTCACATCAACTTCTCTCTCCTGCACAGAGATCTCTGTCACAGTTCTATATAATATTCATCCCTTAAATATATACCCTATATTTATAATCAAGGAGAAGTGTTGATAATAAGCAATTTGGGAGGAAAACATGCAAGACTTGTCCCTATCAATGAACCTCCATGCCCCAAATGGGTATCACTCTGTCAAGAATCCTTTTTCAAACAGCAATTGAAAACTTATAATATAGCAGGAGATTGCAATGGGCCACAATTGCAGTTGTACAAATACTCCTATGGAAATTTCACAGTTCACAGCATCCTTCAGACTGTGCTATGAAGAATAATTGGTAATCACCCTGCAATTGTACAATCATTATTGCTGGTGAACAATTGCTATATATTTTTTTCCAAGGGGAAGATCTCATATTGCCTTGACAATGGCTTTACTTGGAATGAAAAGAAAAAGATAGAACAAGTCTTTAGCTGGTTCATTCTAAAAGATTGTATCCCAGCCAGATGAGCTTTGTACAGAGGCCAATTTCTGTAGAAATGGATTCAGCTATCAATCATCACTGATTTGTTCTCGCATAAAAGCAATGTGATGCAGAAGATTACCTAAGTTGGTTTTAGCTATCATAGATACTGCTCTCATTTGTATTGCTTCTCCATCAAAAATACAGATTTAATGATATACTCATATCTACAATTGTACTTATGATTTTTGTCTTACAGTTCTAAAATTCTTGGGCAATAGCTAATGAAATGACTATGAATAAATTAATGAATTGTTGCTAACTGCATGTCACTTTTACAGCCATTCATCACCTTGGATAGCAGCATCTCTTATATCTTTACCAATGAAGGACAGAATACTATCACAGTGCAGGTCTCAGCTGGCAATGTCCTGATTCAGGACACCCGAAATATTGCTGTGCATGGTGAGTTGACAAAAGGCAATTGAAAAGGTGTGCACACCTGTTTCTTCAAACCTAAGTTTTGAAATTTAAGACCTGGCAAAGAGATCTAAAGTATACTTACAAGGTAGAATTAAATATATATTTGGTAATAATTGTTTAGGAAGGAGATATGAGAAAGAATGAAGGATGTAGCACTCAGACTCACTACATCTTCCAGAAATACTTCAAAACAAATTATTTTAATGATTGGATAGTATAATATCACAGCAAGATCATAGTCATAACCATGCATCTATCCTGCTTTATTGGAGAAAAATCACCTTGAAAATTAGCTTTTGGCTTCCTGAATATAGTACCAATCCATCTTTTAAGTTATACAGTGTTAGGAATATTAGAAGCTGTGAAAGACATATGTTTGTCTTAATCATGGCATCTTTTATTTCTGGTCTTGTTGGAAATAAAGTCTTAAATGTAGACATTGAATGATGATGTGAATTATTTCTCCTAGATATAACTCAAGCATTGATGCACATTCTGTAAATCAGAGGCATTTGCAGAATGGATCAAGGGAAGATGGATGGCAAAAGCAGCCACTCTAATGCAAGTTATGCCCCTTTTATATGTATGTTGTGAAGTCAGAAATAGGTAGCAAAGTGGTAGAGCTTGTATCACAACAATGTAATATTGTCTTATGATTTGGGCAGTAACACTACCTTCTACATATATTTCTGACTCTATCATATGTGTAGCATTGTTTGGAGCACATGGATGTTTTTGAATGAAAGTGCAATCACAATGTACCATCAAAAAGGGACACTGGTGCTTCTGATGGATTTTGGGAAAAATTATGAAAACATATCATATTCATAAAGTGGCAACTCCCAATTATTTGACATTGTACCGGGCATAAATCATGTTAAGCATATAAAGAGTTAATAGTATGAACAACTGTACATAAAAATTATTCTTCATTCCAATAGAAACTCTGGATCAAATGTTCATGCTGTGCTCTTTTATAAAAGATCCACTTTTGAAGGTTGGAATATATAAGCTGAGACAGAACTGTGCTTAGTACGAGTGCACATCATACATTCATATTCATGAACGCACACACACATTTGTACAAATACACACACACATATATAAAGTATATTTATTCATATATAGACACATACATATAATACATACTCATTCTGCATTTTAAGATCATTTTCATCAGTTTGATAGATTTTTAAAAGATTCTTTGAAAAGAAAAGAAAGTTATAAAACTTTTATGAGAGAAAAACAGCATTATGGTACTCACCATAATCACGAGATTGCTGATGAGTATTTCATTGTCCATTTGTCCAGCTGTATGTAATCTTCAAGTTTTATTAAATTCCAAAAGAAAACATTCTGCAGACAATCCATGGAATTTTTTTTAGATTCAGAAGTTAGGAAGGATGAAGAATGATGGAAAGACTTATTATAGAAAATAGTGGTAGCACAGCATCTTCTGACACTTCTCAACAATAAAGAAAGCTTAGAGTTGCAACCCAAATAAATTATAAAGAATTCTACATATGAGATGTAAAAACTGAGTACTGCTTTGCTGGGGAAGAAAACTTTTAGAAAATTGTGTATCAGTGATAAGGCTTTGAGAACCAGTTTGGCACAGTGGTTAAAGCACCAGGCTAGAAACTAGATGATCATGATATCTACTCCCACGTTAGGCATGAAGCCAACTTGGTGACCTTGGGCCAGTCATGCATGTACATGTACATGTACGTGCACACACACAGAGGAGGATTTTACATTATGTTTCTGTTATCAAGTAAACAATTGGACTTGAAATAATAATGACACTTTACAGAGAATATTCTGATGATTAAGTATAAAGTGTGGTATAAAGATTCTTTTCACATCTCTAATTCTCAATAAATGTGTCGATTTACTTTTTAGTGAATTGGATCTTGTTGGCAGGAAGATAGCTAAAAGTAATATGCATTGCATTATATATTGGCACATATTTCTGTCCATATGCATCATACTGAATAAAAAGGAGATGGCCTAATAATATAATCAAACATTTTCATTTCTGCAGTGAGACATAATTCATTTTTATATGCATCAACTTACCTTTTGCCCACCCCATCAGTACTATTTAATAGCTGTCCTTGATTGTTCTGTTAAAACATACAATTTGATTATAAGTCTTTGAGGTCTGTACTCAAAGTTGGAGTACTTGGAGGCCCAGTCTTGGGTTTTACTTCTGTGCGCTAAATCATTAGTATCAGGTCATAGATTTTCGGCTTCTAAAATTCCCATTAGGTTAATATATGAAAACATAAAAACATATAAAAACATATAAAACATTTAAAAACATCTTCAAACATAAAAAAAGAGAGTGAAATATTGAAAATAGGAAGATGAGGAAGAGCAGAACCATCTACGCTATCTATCTATCTATCTATCTATCTATCTATCTATCTACCTATCTATCTATCTATCTATCTATCATCTATCTATCTCAAATTAGCAGAATTAACACTGCTAATCACACTTGGTCAATAAATAATTCTATTCTACTCTATCAGCAAAGATGAAGAATAAAGCAAACAAATAAGACAAGAACCCTACTAAAAGCCAAAAGTCCATTTATAAACTTGTCTACCACTTAAATTAGCCTTGCTCTACTGCAAGGATTTAATTTGGGAGTGATTTCTTCATGTCTCATGAACTGCTGTACCCTGATTTGTCTGTCATTACCTTAATCTGATTTGTTCTGCATTATGTAGTCTTGGCAGCACATAAGGCTAAAACAGGTATCTCTTTGCTTTTGGAAAACAGAGTACTGGTACTAAGGATGTACTGAGTGGAGCACAAAGCATATCAAATACAACGGAAGAAAAAACTAGTTTATGGAAGCTGCTGTTCATTTTACTCTTGGTCCTGTTTAATTGTGAAACATATTGATGAAACCAAAACAGTTTAGAATGTTAGGCAAGAGACAAATGTCACACAAAGGATTTATACCAGTATCTGATTAGTTTCTTAGTGAAACTATTTTTTAAAAAATCTCCTGTCAATTTATGTCTCTTGTTTAAGTTTTAGGTTTGTTTTCCTTTTTCTCTCTTTTTGACTCCCTCTCAGATTCCTCCTGGGATATGGAGTGCAGTGCAGTCCTATGTTCAAGGTATCCCAGAGCTTTTGTTTCCACACCAGTGCCTCAGAAAACAGCCTGAAACCATCCTATGTTGTATTCACTTATGCTGCTATTAAAATGCAGATAGGAAATTATGCAAAGGGATGTCAGCTAAATACAACTTACTACTATCCTATTTGCCTGACCACTTTTAATCTATTGGATTAAAAATCCTATGAGTTTTGAAAATGAAATGTAGCATTCTGACAATTCAATAAAGTAGTACTCTCCCAACGGTGGTCTCTGCCTGTAGTTGTGATATTTGGATTGGATTTTTATCAGAAATAAATTTGAGCTCATGCATACAAGAAGACATAAATTGTAGGAACAGGGGAGGGAAGAGCAGTAATGACTTCACCGCAGAACCTGGGACCTGAAATGAGGTGAGAACTTATCCATAGGAAAGTGAGCCATCACATTTGTAGAATTGCACCAAGGAAATAAAATAGGAACAGAGCTGGAAACACAGGGAATGAACCCATACAACATTGTGAGATTAGTCAAAGGTGCAGTCCAAGAGAAGTTCAAAGAACACTAATGTGAAAGTGCCTGTATTTTTTTATGAATATTATTTGTTGCTACTTTTCTTATTTAGAAGGTGACTAAGATTCTTTTGTTTGGAAAGTTGTAAGTTTATGTATAGTTGATTTTTATACTGAATAAAATCTTCTCCACTTAGAGACACATAATTCACTGGAAACGTAAAGGGAGACCAGAAACATTTTTATTAAATACATGATAATTTAATCTTAATACTTGACATACTGGAAACAACTTTTAGCATCTGACACAAATGCCAATTTTCTCTAGAACAAGAATAATTTTGAGAATTGTGCAATACACACATAGCACTCACATATGCATATATGTGTATGTGATTAAAAAGGTTAAAAATATGAACCCTGGGAATATTCATGGTAAAAATATAAAATGAACACCAGGGTAATAAAAACTGTAAAAGTTTTTAATAAATTAAAACTATAAAAGTTTTAAAAAGCGCCAAGCTTTCGCCATCACCTGCCGGCATCCTCAGGGCTGGCGCGCCAGAGAATGAGAAGGTCTTTTATAGGCGTGTCAAGGTTTGCGCCCGGCTCCTTGATCTTGTTATCGGGCCTAATTGGTTCAGCCATGTGCAATTAACCTGTACTTCTTTTCTCTTTTTGGTTGCATTTTTATCCTCATCCATTTCCAATTCTCCCAACTCCGGATTAGCTAGATGGCAATTCCAGTTATTTCGGTTGCCTTTATGTTCTGACCTCCCCTCAGGCTCAGGTAGTGCACATTCCACATTCCTTTCTCCACCGTATCTTGTCCGGTTGTTACTTATAGAATCGCATTCATTTCCGGTCTCAATACTTTCGTTTTTAATGTGTCCGTCATCCTGATGATCTCGTAAGTTACTATGGGTCCGGTGCAGCGTGGAGGGGTATTCCGCAAGGTGGAGGGGTCGTCTCTTATTCGTTGTCATGCCCAGCTGTCTTGCGCGTGTCCTACTCCGAGTACTCAGTCCAGGGGGTGTGTGTACAGCAATCAAGCCGCGCCCCTCCTGGTTGCAGCGCTCTTCCTCAGTTCTCCCCTTTTTTACATTGTTAAAAGCGTTCGCATGTATTCCATGGGAGTCCTCAGGATCGTCGGGTAGGGGGTGTGACGGCTCGATCTCCCGCACCCTGCCGCTCTCCGATCTTCCCTCCTCCTCTATAACGGTGTGCGAGAGTTCATCATCAACCACCTCCTGTGGTTTGTCCTCATTGGAGCTGATCGTTCCGGCTGCATGAGGGGGTCTTCTCCTCCTTTCCGGACCAGCCGTGATGTTTCTTTTGATGTGTAGGCAGGCCGTTACGTTTGGCGGTTCGCCCGCACTTCCACCTGCCGTATCTTCCCTCGTCTCTTCTTTGCTGTCAGGGGTCCGGACCTTGGTTCTTATCACCCCCCTAATCCTCTGGGATTGCAGCAGTCTCACGGGGGTGGTCGAGGTATCTCGCGATTGCTTTTCTTCCTCTGAATTGCACATGGTTTGTGGGGTAGTTCGGGTACTGCCCAAGTTGTTATTGGGCCATCGGGGGTGTTGCCGCTGATTATTGGCACTCCATGATCTTAAGGCCAAATAGGACGGACATAGGTCAATATGCCTGTTAATGGACTTACTGTCCGAGAGCCATGCCTCTCTAAGAAGGCGGCCCCCTTTAGTACTATCATTTGCCAATACACTGACGCCACTAAAGTTAAACTTATGGCCCAGATCCACCGTGTGGGCCCATATTTGGGAGTGACAGTCTCTCCTTCTCACTGCCAATTCGTGCTCATGGACCCTGGTCTTAATGCGTGTAGCAGTCTCCCCAATATAATTGCATTGGCAGTCCATGCAGTCAATCCTATAGACGGCTGCCGATCTTTCGATGCTGGGGAGCAGGTCCTTAGGGCGCATTATTGCCGCCCGCAGTGTTTGGTTGGGTCTATGGGCCACCTGTATTTTATATGGTGCCAGGATCCTAGCTGTGGCTTCTGATACATGGCCCAGCATCAACCAAAATTTTGGGCCCGCTATGTGGACGATACGTTTGCGGTCATTAAGAAACAACACAAGACTGACTTTATGGGCGTCCTGAATTCGGTATACCCGGACATCCAATTCACCATGGAGGAGGAAGATCAGGGCAGTTTAGCATTTCTGGATGTATTAGTGCAGCGCCAGGTGGATGGATGTCTAGCTACCAGGGTATACCGAAAACCAACATGTACAGACAGGATTCTCCACTTTGGGAGTAATCACCCGATGGCCCATAAATCCAGTTGTGTCAGGACGCTATTCAACGGGTGGAGACACACTGCAGCACCGTCAGAGCTAAAAAGGAAGAGAGAAACTACCTCTTCCAAATATGTAGACGTAACGGCTACCCAGTCAAATTTATTAACCAGTTCAGGAAATTACCTGGACTCCGGAGTAACTCCGTATCTCAAGAATCCATGCCTCAAGCCACCACACGCATTGCCCTCCCCTACATCCATAATGTATCAGAAGCCACAGCTAGGATCCTGGCACCATATAAAATACAGGTGGCCCATAGACCCAACCAAACACTGCGGGCGGCAATAATGCGCCCTAAGGACCTGCTCCCCAGCATCGAAAGATCGGCAGCCGTCTATAGGATTGACTGCATGGACTGCCAATGCAATTATATTGGGGAGACTGCTAAACGCATTAAGACCAGGGTCCATGAGCACGAATTGGCAGTGAGAAGGAGAGACTGTCACTCCCAAATATGGGCCCACACGGTGGATCTGGGCCATAAGTTTAACTTTAGTGGCGTCAGTGTATTGGCAAATGATAGTACTAAAGGGGGCCGCCTTCTTAGAGAGGCATAGCTCTCGGACAGTAAGTCCATTAACAGGCATATTGACCTATGTCCGTCCTATTTGGCCTTAAGATCATGGAGTGCCAATAATCAGCGGCAACACCCCCGATGGCCCAATAACAACTTGGGCAGTACCCGAACTACCCCACAAACCATGTGCAATTCAGAGGAAGAAAAGCAATCGCGAGATACCTCGACCACCCCCGTGAGACTGCTGCAATCCCAGAGGATTAGGGGGGTGATAAGAACCAAGGTCCGGACCCCTGACAGCAAAGAAGAGACGAGGGAAGATACGGCAGGTGGAAGTGCGGGCGAACCGCCAAACGTAACGGCCTGCCTACACATCAAAAGAAACATCACGGCTGGTCCGGAAAGGAGGAGAAGACCCCCTCATGCAGCCGGAACGATCAGCTCCAATGAGGACAAACCACAGGAGGTGGTTGATGATGAACTCTCGCACACCGTTATAGAGGAGGAGGGAAGATCGGAGAGCGGCAGGGTGCGGGAGATCGAGCCGTCACACCCCCTACCCGACGATCCTGAGGACTCCCATGGAACACATGCGAACGCTTTTAACAACGTAAAAAAGGGGAGAACTGAGGAAGAGCGCTGCAACCAGGAGGGGCGCGGCTTGATTGCTGTACACACACCCCCTGGACTGAGTACTCGGAGTAGGACACGCGCAAGACAGCTGGGCATGACAACGAATAAGAGACGACCCCTCCACCTTGCGGAATACCCCTCCACGCTGCACCGGACCCATAGTAACTTACGAGATCATCAGGATGACGGACACATTAAAAACGAAAGTATTGAGACCGGAAATGAATGCGATTCTATAAGTAACAACCGGACAAGATACGGTGGAGAAAGGAATGTGGAATGTGCACTACCTGAGCCTGAGGGGAGGTCAGAACATAAAGGCAACCGAAATAACTGGAATTGCCATCTAGCTAATTCGGAGTTGGGAGAATTGGAAATGGATGAGGATAAAAATGCAACCAAAAAGAGAAAAGAAGTACAGGTTAATTGCACACGGCTGAACCAATTAGGCCCGATAACAAGATCAAGGAGCCGGGCGCAAACCTTGACACGCCTATAAAAGACCTTCTCATTCTCTGGCGCGCCAGCCCTGAGGATGCTGGCAGGTGACGGCGAAAGCTTGGCGCTTTTTAAAACTTTTATAGTTTTAATTTATTAAAAACTTTTACAGTTTTTATTACCCTGGTGTTCATTTTATATTTTTACCATATGTGTATGTGTATACGCAACCACATACAAGATATTTGATATGTTTTGCATCTCTGATAATATATGCTTCTTTTTTAGCTATATGTAGAACTTTGTTGTATGACTTTGTAATGAATGCATTTTAACCATACCAATGTAAAGAACCTTAATAGTTTGTACTGGAATTTTACCGTGACACTCTTTTTTTGCAGAATATTTTCAGTCTCAACTATTATCATTCTCACCCAATTTGGATTACCACAATCCTGATATCCCAGAGTGGAGAGAAGACATTGGCCGAGTCATCAAAGCAGCTTTGGTGCATGTGAGTACCTAGGGAAATCTCCTTAATAATAAGCGTAATTTTCTTGAAGTTTGAACAGTCTATACAAGCACAATTCAGGAAAGGAGATTATAATTTTCAATTACACACTGCAACTTTGATAAAGCTAGGCTTATCATTCTGGTACACACATGCAATTACCTAGATAAATATTATATAGCACTTTTTAGCACCCAATAAACCCAGACTTTTTTTTTTTAAAAAAAGGGATGTTTGTTTTGTTCTGTTTTTTTATTGTGTTTTCTTAGTACTACAATGTTTTGCAGTCCTTGAAGTATTATCTGTGCAGCCTTTGATGATAAGATGATATAATCAAAAATATTAAGGGGGATTAATTATAGCATTTTTCCAGTGAATCCATGATTACTGACTTTGTGCATGTATGTTTGTTATTCAAGATGGATATATTGTCTGTCTTCATGATCAATAGAGCTTAGTTGACTCACACAATGATGCTATCTTTATGTTCATTTCTATTTATTTCCATAATTCAGTTCTATGTCTACCACCTTAGCAAATATTATAGAAATACTGCAGTACAAGGTGTATGTATTTAATTCATCAGAGATAAATGCATTGATTTTTAAAAAGTATGAACCCTTTCACTTTTTTGCAATTATTACATAGGTTTTGAATAAACAAATATATGTTGTATTTCACATAATCTTGCACATGGTTATTTTTTAATTTACTCTGTTTCTTCTACTTAAAAAATATACAACGAATAGTAATCAGCAAGTTCAGATAAACAAGATAAAGAAAAGCATTCTCTGGCTTTTCTCAACAGAACCTAGAGGAGCTTTGAAAATTATTTTTTTTCTTGCTATATTACAAAAGAATATGAAAGACACATTTCTTTTTGTACACTTTTTTCTGTTGTTTTAGAAACATCTGCCTCCAGTGTACTGATCAAAGCTTTCCTCAATCATAAGCTCAGCTATAAGCACTCTATAAGGCAGGATAAACAGCTGATAATGTGTGAGGGGAACTCCCAGCAATAGTTAGGGAAAGATAGTTTTCCCTTCTTTGATTTCTGGGCTCCCTCCAGTTTCTGTCTTCATATCAATATCAAGACTTACTCTTTATACAACCAGATCACAAATTTCACATTCTTCTTCTTAGCCCTGTTTGTTGTGGTGACTGAGAGCTAGCTTGCTTAGAAATCCTATCTTAGGCTACTATGAATACCTTGCTTTCTATTCTTCCTTCACACTCTTTCAAAACATGAGCAGCTGGTTATGGAGCTGGACAGGACAAAGATGTTAGTGGTTGACTTCTGTGAATGATATCAAAATTGTTTTTGTGAAGCGAACAACTCAAGCTTGATTTTTAAATGTTTTCAGTATTGTTTCAAACCTTATACTCTATGTCCTGCATTTATTCAGTGTGTTCTTCAAACCCACTTGATACTTCTTTTTTAAGCAAATTACAAAAGGATTGACAGCCATATTAAAACATAAAACAGAGTGAGATATAATTCCCATGGACATTCTATAGATAGAATAGAAAATTCCTGTTCTCCTAGATCAATGGTGGTGAACCTATGGCACGGGTGCCCCAAGTGGCACTCGGAGCCCTCTCTGTGAGCACACATGCTGTTGCCCCAGCCTCACCCCCCCACGACCCCTCCTCTCCAGCAGCCCCCCTGAAGGAGACTTGCCCCTAAGCGTGGCCCACACGGTGAAGCGCAGCCCAGGACATAGCAGCCAGGCAGCATAGACAAGACTGCCCTCATACCCCATTGTGCACAGTTGATGTTGCAGGGCGTGGCAGAGAATGTGACTGCCATAGCGCTGCTGGGCTGCTTGAGCGATCTGCGGCAGGCCCTGGAGGCGGTGAGTGGCCCTGTGGGCAGGCAGGGGGGGATGGGTTGGAACAGGGCGCGGACAGTTTTTGGGCACTTGGTCTCTAAAAGATTCACCATCACTGTCCTAGATAATTAAAATAAAGAGACAAATTATGAATTCTATTTATTAAAGAGAGCTTATTATCATATTCCCTTTTAAGAAAATACTGATTTTTGCAGTCAATAAACACTTTTGTGAAAATTTGTACTGTCTATTTTAATAGTTATATATATAGCTGAAGCTATGCATTTTGATGTATTTTTTTTTAAAAAAAGTAGAAGGATTTTGCATGGATAATAATTAAATTTCTATTTAATGAGTTTTACATCACTCTATCTTTAGAATAAAATTTAACTTTTGTGTGTGAGAGGGAGGGAGGAAGAAAGAAGAGGGAAAGGCACACAGACAGACAAAAGGCATAAGAGGTTGAAATGTATAAATGGAATTTATATTTCTTTCAATCCAGCATAGATTAGTCCTGATTAGGTAAGTAGGTAGGTAGGTTGGTAGGTGGGTAGGTAGGTAGGTAGGTAGGTAGGTAGGTAGATAGATAGATAGATAGATAGATAGATAGATAGATAGATAGATAGATAGATAGATAGATAGATAGATAGACAGATAGACAGACAGACAGACAGACAGACAGACAGACAATCAGCACAAAGATTGAGTATAGTCTTCCAAAATTCTTATTCTCTAAATTTGGAAAGTCCTTTAGGGAATTGCAGTTTCAGACTTAGAAACTACTATGACCAGAACAAGATGCTAATATTGTTTGAATTCCTAATTTTAGCTTCAAAAAGATATTTTGTGTGACTGAAATATATCAAATATATTTATCAAATCTGAAGCTGGAAAGAAGGGATATATTGTTTAGGTACACTACTGAAACCCCTATAGGCCCATTACATGTTCAGTAATGTTATTTGGCCTAAAAATGGATCTAGAATATTCACTAATTCAGAATACGTATAGATCTAGTCAAGTAGTTAGTACTTTATTGACATTAATGTATTCTATTGTTTTGGAGATGTATTTTATATAAAGAACTATTACATTAAATGTTTTCTTTCAAAAATTGTTGAATGAAATAAAAACTGTTGGTACAATGAAAAGTGATTTTTTTAAAAAAAATCCACATGCATATATTGTTATGCTTTTCCATGTTGTATCAAGTGCTAAGACCATTTATCAGAAAGACCATTTATCTATGCTTGTCTTCTTTAGTAAAACAAATGTACACACCAAGAATAACCAGGGACAAAAAAACAGGTTTTTTTTTTTTTTAAAAAAAACAGATTCCTATACATTAAAAATATTATTTTCAGACTTTTATTTCTTCATGCAGTCTGAACAAAAGTTTCCACAGTCATAAGCTTTCCATAAGGCATGCTTAGCATGGGTTTGGGAAGAACACGATGTGTGACAATACATTATGACTTACTAATTGAACAACTTATGACTTTAGTACTTTCACTTTAATACAAATTTTCATCCATGCATTTGCAATCAAAATAGAAACATGTCCTCTTTTTTATCGAATATTATCACCTTTTCTACACCATTTGCCAGCTGATTCTCCAAAAAGGGAAGTTTTGGTACTCTTAATATTGCTAAGTTAAGGAACATTAAGTTGTCATTCTACCCTCCTAACTTGACATGCACCAGGTCTTCCAAGAACATCATAGAGCAAAATCACAATATTATTCACATCACTTATCACTTTCATTACGTAACATTACACATTACAGAGCAAGAATTCTGAAACAATTTCAAATGTGAAAACAGGTCTTCTTTTAGGCAATGTTTACCCATTATAAATATACTAGGTGTATATTTGGCTTCCAAATACCAGTTCCCTTGGACATTGAGATGCAAGCTCATTTTTTTCTTCCATTGTTTAGAGTTTGTTGACAGTAATATGACTTACAAACTAAGGATATAGCATGTACTAAAGAATCATCTTGTTTTTATTTATTTTTTCTCACTTTGCTTAGGTGACTGGTATTCCCAAGGAACAAATTCTTGTAGCAGTATTCCCTGGATTGCCTACCTCTGCTGAGCTTTTCATCTTACCACATCAAAACATCTCAGAAAGAAGGAAATACAGTGAAGATGATTTAGAGCAGGTGGGTAAAACACGGGTTCCCCTTTTTTCAGGTGGTTACGCATTCCTTTAATTGTTAAGCAGGCTCTGAACTGAAAAGAATTTCAAAGTACTATAATATAGGGCAGTGTTTCTCAACTATGGCCATTTGAAGATGGTTGGACTTCAATTCTCAGAAACATCACTGGCTGGGAAATTCTGCTAGCTGAAATCCACACATCTTCAAGTGGACAAAATTGAGAAACACTGATTTGGGATGTTTAAGATTGCCAAACTTTCTGTATAAATATTGATTTTGTCTTTAAACTGGTGATTGATAACCACCTAAAAATGGAAATCATATGATTTCAATTTTTTTTTAAAAAAAATATTTTTGAAGTATTTGTTTTTGGAGGGTTGACTTATTAGAACAATTGATATAACATTTTGATATCCATCTGTCATGAGATGTGAGATATTTGTTTGTAACCAATTAAAACACAGTATTTTAAAACCTGTATCTAAGAATTTAAGTCAATATTTAAAAATACAATATAACACAAAAGCATGCAGTAGAAGCAATAAAATTGTTAAGTCAACAAGAAAATAAAATACATAATGGGATAGCATACTTTTGTTCCACAAATATATATATATATATATATATATATATATATATATATATATATATATATATATATATATTGGGTCCCTTCAAAACAATTTTTGACTCTTAAGCCCTACAGATTTCTTGGTAAGATTTGAGAAGTGATTTGCCATTGCCTGCTCCTCAGGTTGAAAGAGGGTGACTGGCACAAGGTCACCCAGCTGGCTTTGTTCCTAAGCCAGGACTAGAAGTCATGGATTCCCAGTTTTTAGCCTGATGCCTTTACCACTGCACCAGATTGGCTCTCTTGGCAAATATACTACTGAGTAAATAGAAAGTTACTAAAGAGATTTATTAAAGAGATTGGGAGAAGAAAAACATAATACTGTATACACTTGAGGAAAACGAATACAATGCCATACTTGCAGAAATGAAAGTACTAGGAGATGGGGACTATAAAGATGGTTTTAGGATCCAGATAAAATATATAAGAAAAAATATATCACTCATTCATCCATCATCAGATTTATAATTTATGTTCCTATTACTACAACTCTGAATAACTTTATTAACATACTGTAAGTACTAACTATCTCTGCTTGCTACTTTCTTCCAACTCCTGATTGAAAATGCTCATAAACACCAGAGAATTGATTATTGTATCCTATGCTGCCTTTGATTTGGCTTGTATTAATCTGAAGATAAGGATCTCTGCATCATATGTTTGCTGTATCGTACTTTGCATCAGATGCAAATTACTTCAACATGATTCCAAACTGTTGATTATTTTTTCTGATTTTAATTCTTCAGCTTTGTACACCTAGACAATTAAAACAAAGTACATAAAAACTGCATGTGGTTTAGAAGATAACCTCAGGAGCCCTTCTGCATTGAATTTTGATTACAATCTCTTGCTCATTTGGAAGTGAATTTTCTTGAACCCAGATAAGCATACTTCTACTTTTCAGTAGAAAGTTACACTATTAATCAACGTGAATTTAATTAGGTAGGCAGTAGCTAAATCACAGTGCAAAAAAAATCCTAAAGCAATAGGCAACCAATTCAAGATTGCTTTTTGAACTGCAACAAAACATTCAAATATTTTTTGTACTATATCAATGAAATATGTAGGATAGAAAACAAATGCTAATAGCTGCAGAAAGCAGGATATATAGTAATGCTGTAATAAATTCCCTTAAGTCAGAAATTGGCCACACGTTTGATTAAATTTGAATGAGAATTTACTTAATTTACTTAACTTCTGGCAATTAATTTTTGCTGAGGCCTAAGGTAGGTAGGGCAGTGACAAGAAATGGTTGTGGCCTCATGATAAAATAGGGATGCTAAAGTTTCCCTTTTTGCCCAAAGGTTTTTGGCTTAATACTAAAATTTCAAATTTGCTTGTTTTTTCCCTTTATCAAAATAGTAGAAAGTATTGCAATTGATTTCCAGCAATCATAATAAGTGAGTAGCAATGAAAGGGATTGTACAACTGTCAATTAAATAAAAGTTCTCTTGTTGTTTGCTCAATATTTTTTTTCTAAAACCCACCATTTTTTGCCTATATAACTCTCTATTACTTAGCCAATTGGAAGGGAGTTGCAGTTATCTGTTATTTTAGCTTCCTTCCATTTTTCCCCTTTCTTTTTTCCCTTTCCATTTTAACCATGCTTTGAATTCTTTGAAATATGGAACACCATCACAGAATACAATTGCCTCTGTCCTTTGTATAGACAAATATAATTGTATCAAACTGATTTTCACTGTTCCAGCAAATTTTTGACATGCGAACTGGTATCAGACAATTACTGTAATTAATATAATCAAAATTTAATGGAACACACTGTATTTGGAGTAATTATGTAGAATACAATATTTCAGCAGGTGCAGCTTTTCTAGTCTTTGTACATTGCATTTAGCTTATACCTGTCAAAATCTTTCTTCCAGAAAACAACTAAAGGCATAAGGCACTTTAATTTTTTAAAGATTTTCTTGCTTTACACATGAGTGCTTTTCCAGATTAATTGGCTCCTTTTCCATTTGTTCTAACCTACTCAAAGTGCCAGATTGGATTTTTAAACCTGTACTAACATGGGATCAAGAGAACTGAATGACTGCCTGTATGCTGTAACCCAGACTTTGAGATTTTCCTTTCAGAAAGCTTACTGGACAAAAGGACTTTTCCATTGATCTTATTGTGGTTTAACATCTTCCCTCTCCAGTTTTTAACCAGTTCCATATTTCAGTTCAGCATTCTAGTAATCAGAGGTATTCTTTTTGAATTTTTTCTAAAGAGCAAGACTTATGTCCTTTCAGAAAATTTCATTACTCTTGGTGATAGCCTGCTAAACAGGCATGGGTGTCTAACAATCTATAGCATATAAGTGTTGTTCATGTAAGTGTTGAACTGAAATACTTCTAAGTGAAAACATATGATAAAGTGAAATGGATGTGATTTTGGAAGAGGGAGTTTTTGTTTCATAATGTTTTCATTCTACTCCCAAGGTCATTTGGCACCTGCCATTTCCTCTGACACATAGTTGTCAAAAAAATAATGCTGTGTTATAATTTAGCTAAATTTAATGTAGCTTTAGGGACATTTTCACATGATGTCTTATATTATATCTTAACCCTGCTTTTACAACAGTTAAAATGCCCTTCACCCCCTCAGGCTATTAAATCTCTGTCATTTAGGTGAACCCACTGTACCAAATGTGTAATTCAAAAGTTGTGAGTTTTATAAATTCCCTATTGACAAATTCATACTTTTCTGTAGAATTTTTTTTAGCTCTCTCTTAAATGACTGGGCACTGAACTTAGGTTTTTCTGAAAGCAAAACCAAGTACAACATACCATATTCTTTTGTGTGTGTTTTTGTGTTTATGTGTGTACTTGTGTGTGTGTGTATGTGCAAGCACACATTCACATATAAATAAGTGAGCATGAGTGTAGAAAGAGAGAGAAAATTACAGTTGGAATTAAATCTGCTGCAGCTCTAGTTAGTTCCAAACATAATCTTAAAAAATGTATTTCTGTGACTGATAAATAATGTAACAGCAATAACTTAGTAATTAAAAAATGCAATGTAATTGCTATCAATTCCACTCTCAACTCTAATTGCATTATTTCCAGAAGATTCCCCTCCCTTCTTCTTCATATTTTGGGATTATTCTGAGACACAAAAGGATTCTTTTTGTGTGTGATTGATATAATAATTTGGATTTTAGAAAGAACTAACATGTGGTGAATAACTCTGCTGTTAATACACATATACCAGGGAGAATTATTATTAATTTCTGTTGTTTATGAATATTTAATTTTCTTCTACCTCTCCTCAGGCTGTTGAAATCCTTTTCAGTGCTCTAAATCAGAACCTGGTTCAATTTGAGTTGAAGCCTGGTGTGGAAATAATTGTTTATGTCACTCAGTTAACATTAGGTAAGTTGGCACCAGAGAAAATATCTAGGGAACACAATGTAATATCTTATGATCAGCTTATATTTTTCTGGAAGAAAAATAAACATTAAAGAAAGCTATCATATTTATCCTGGGCATTGTTCTTGAACAAGTTGGTGCTGCACTTTTAGTAAACATTCAGAAAAGCTTGTTAGAGCTATCCAGATACCTCTTAATGGCACTAGGTGGGTGAAGACTGCTCTAAGTAGAATCCACTTAAATATATTTTACTTGGAAAAAACTGAAAAGAGATGTGCCTGAAAAATCCAGTCATCCCCTATTCATAAATTTAGTTTTAGTTAGAGGATAAAACAATTGATGTAACTGATTCAAAAACAGAAAGAGTTATTTGAAAAGGCTTAATTTGGTACTGACTGATGTTCAGTAGGAATGAAACATTCTATTCCAATTTATAAAAACATGACTGTGGCATATAAGAAGAGATTTGTTTCTTTGTCTTTCAACCAAAGCTAGCATAATTTTATTTTTATAACCTAGCAAAAGAAGAACAGAAAACACAGGAATTTTATTTGGTTTTTCTACTGTAAGAAGCAATCATGACAGCTAATAAATAGGTTTTAAAAAGGAAAATATAAAATAAAGTTTTTTCAAGTACATCTTAACTCCTGGTGACCATATTAAAATTAGGGAGGGGGTAGCAAGTGATTTGTTCTTAGCTCAAATGGCTTTTCAAAACTAAAAGGATAGTTGAAAACTGAAAGCAATTTTCTTTCATCAAATCAATGAAAAGTGAAAAAAGCATGAAGGATTTGTTTTCTGCCTAGCATTAAAAACTACAGCCAACGTTATGATAAATCCTGTTTAAGGTATTGACTTGACTCTTGCAAACACTGTTCCTGATTAGCAGCTGTCTCCAGCATAGTTGCAGTATATCAACTGGAGACCACAAAACAGGGAGCAGATACAAAAAGAGCATATATGGCATGAATGAAATGGTTTAGTTACTGGGCAGCCTGCTATTTCTTTTTCATTATGGAGCTACTTGGAACCTTGAGAGTTCCAAGGGAGTAGTACTGATCCCTCACCTTACCTCTGACTACAGCACACACAGAGAGAAACACATACAAACACACAGTGTCTGTTCTCTTGTTAATAATAATAACCTAGCAGCAGTAAAGACAGAT